TTCATCACAGCGCAAGGCATTATATAACTTCAGTCAGCGTCTACTTACGAGCGATAATGCTTTAATTCGTACTTGTGTCAACTCTGACAGTTTTTTCTTATCCAAATTTTGGACTAATCTTAGACGTTGTATTTATTAGTGTTCGTGTTTGTTGTGTATTTAATATGGGACTTTTTTGGCCTGAAAAATAAAGGATTAATAATTGCGTCAGAAATTAATTGAATATGAATTTAATTACCATTTAGCAATTATCAACAACCACCGTAAAGCTTGCAACAACACTTGGCCGCCATTACTAGTATTTCAACCAAGAGCAAAGAACAAGCACAAATTCATACTCCTGTCATTAAAGGGCGGTGGTAATCGCATCGTGCTCTGTTCGATATGGGACTCATAGCAACGTATACAACGCGCGTAAAATACATTGTTTATTTACATGAAATTCAAACACGCGCTGCGCGACGACCACCGCGCTTTAACTTGACCTCTGAAATAAGAATGGTAACAAATAAAGCTGACAAATACTATCTCCATTGATGAATTCTCATTATATTGGTGTACATGCAAGTATGAGGATGGTCAGCTCAAGACCAAAAACTCATTGGTTTTGAAACGGTCATACATTTAGAGAAGACTCTTTTCCAAGGTTGCGAATATCGCTGGTGTCATTAATTCAGCTCGTACATTTAATTTAACATACTGGGATCACACAGTATACTATTTTATTTCAAAACTTATTAATACCACTGTAATCTTTTTTTTTTTATTTTGGATACTGAACTGAAGAATAATTGACGTGCAACGATTAATAGTGTTTGTTTGTATGTACTGACATCTAGCCACCCACACAGACTTGTTGTTTGTAGGTGCATCATGTAATTAAACAAATAACTAATTTAATGTATCCAATCTAATAAAAAGGCAATAATTTAATTTACCTAGTTATTCTAGTATTGCTCACGAGACACGCTGTTTGAGCGACATGTTTATTTCCATATGGGTTCATACCACTAATTAGAACTCCATAGACGACAATGTTGGCGCATCCAAAAAAGAAAGGGTTACAAAGACCAAAATATTGTTTTAATTTGTTGAAACCACATGTAATAGAGTTCTGGCCAGTAAAATGCACGTTGGCCAACTCACAATGGATGTAAACAAAACACAGATTTTCTACCTTCAATATTCTCAGAAACGCAGCCAGTTTGGGAAAGTCTAACCAAGAGTTGCCCGGATCTACAGGTCAGCGGTACATGTCAATAAACAAAGCTACACATACGTCCAATAGTACGCCCTCATACATCACGTTTCAGATAAAAAGTGGCGAAAGAAAACCCATTGGCTAAGTGCTACAACGCTGATAGGCTAATTGCTACAGTTGTATTCATATTCAGATTGTAATTTCCACAGTTGTATTCATATTGTAATTTCTAGTTGTAGTCATATTCAGACTGTAATTTCTACAGTTGTATTCATATTCAGATTGTAATTTCCACAGTTGTATTCATATTGTAATTTCTAGTTGTAGTCATATTCAGACTGTAATTTCTACAGTTGTATTCATATTCAGATTGTAATTTCTACAGTTGTATTCATATTCAGATTGTAATTTCTACAGTTGTATTCATATTCATATTGTAAACTACAATTTCAAATCTTGCATAACTAATATATATATATCTATATAATGTTTTTAAGTTTTGCTTTCTTCTCGTTTTCTGGGAAAGGATCAACATCAGATTACGATGAATCCAAAAACAGAATTGTGTCCATGTGTCCTGAATTACAATAGTATGTCTTGTCTTTGAACAAAATCTACCACAGCAGCTACTCCAATAATGACGATCAGAAACACAAGACTCAAACTACGCACCAGTTTTCAGACTGGGATAAATCAGGGATGATTTAAGCAAGGAAATTCAATAGCATTATTCTAATGTTAATTTGATATACCTTAATTACACTTACAAGTATTTATTGAATATAGCCGTCGACCTCATAATCATTTTTATTCGAGGAACCAAATGGGTACCAACTATATCAAATCTACAGATCCTGTGGCTTATACATTGCAGACAAAAACTGACCTTTTCAAAATTATTTTAATACGAAAGTTACAGTACACATCAATAATATACATATCCAGAGCTTTCAGTCATGTGGAGAATATTCCTAAGATGAACAAAGTTGAGGTGAAAATAAAGAAAAATTGAAAGGCTAAAAAAAAAAATGTTATACTCAGCTGGAAAATATTTCATTTTAATAGACCACCTTCTCTGCCATCCAACTGATTGACATACATTTTAAAAATAACATACTAAAAGTGAAAGTAAAAAAATAATACAGACTGGCACAGAACGAATTAGGCAGTTTTTAGTTTATTCAGCTGGGTAAAAAAACATGGTTGGTTGAAATGACATCGAGATTTACATCCGCAGAGCTCGGAACTGTTGGAAAACTTCCAGAATATGCTGGTCAATGTCGGCAGTAAAGAGTAACGTCTCAAGTGTGGTGATATACTTCTCCACTTGTTGATAGTGCTGTTAAAGAATCAGAAAAATTTGATAAAAAACAGTGAGTGACAGCATCGGCCGACAATTACCTAAAAGATGAAAATCCAAATAATTCGATCAACACAATCTATTGATTTTGGGAAAAATTAATAATAAATAATATTCCAGTATTCAAATTATGAATAACAATACGAGTATGAATACAATTGTACTTACGGTTAAGAATATTTGTTGAAGTCTTCCTTTAACTTGTTTGTACCATGGGGTATCGCAATCTTTACCTTCATTTTCACATTTCACTAGATGTTCACTTAAAATAATGATAAAGCGCTGCAAAAAATAAAGTTATTCAAAGAAAAAGTTACGTTACAGTCAGTGTGTTTGTGTCATTTCAGTATGGTTTTAATGAAAAAATATTCAGATTTTGTAGTGTTACTGCTTATTTGCATAACAAACACAGTGATACAAGTAAATAAAATTGTGTTATTGTGAATAAAATTAATTCGACAATCTATCTGCAATTAATTACAGACAAGTTAGTCTGATATATTTTATATAAATTGATCCATTGTGATCATCTGCATCTTTTCGGGGTTAAAATACACAAATTTGGAATTCTTAATTAAACATAAAAATTACAACAAAATTTGCAATGAAATGTTTTTAAACATCGCAAGAAAATCATACACTGTGTCACCATCTTGGTTACCTCAATCCAAATTCCCGCTTGTCACAATGTACATTGTGTTGCCATGGGCAACAGACTTTGATATTAAGGCACTATGAATTTTCAGAGGTCAGGGTTTGACTTTTTTTTATTGGCAGCATGGATTGAATTTCAAGCGCTATGGACAGAGGACAAGTGTCAAAGAATCATGGCACCAGAGATGTCAAATACTGTAGAATACTTTATTTTCGCTTGGAATTTATTTCCGCTATTTTCGCTGAACGGATGATTCCGTGTAAATAAAATCCAGCGAATATACTTTTTTTCCTATATTCCACATTCAACTCATCAAAAATC